CGGAGCCAGGGTGCCGAAGGCACCTGGGTTCTGAGTGAGCGTCTGGATGAAGACGGAGAGCGCCGAATGAACGTCGATGGTGAGAACCAGAGGGCTGACTTGGTCATCGCTCCGGTTTTTCTTCTTGGCCTCGATGCCGAGGCGGGCATCGGGGGCATTTTGCTGGATTTGAAGGCGTAGGTTGACAGCCGCCTGTTCCAGCCCAGCGATGACACCGCCCTCGGGAGCCCTGTGAGAGGCTTCGGGGGCGTTGACGTCACCGAGGGCCAGGTTCTTGTCTTCTACGTTTTTGGAGTTGGCACGTGTTGTTCTCACCATTTTGGTAGAGGGCTAGTGTTTGGCGAAGGGGGAAGGTTTCTTACTTGATCGTTCGACCCTCTCAACGAGAGCACCAAATGATGGATATTGTACCCGGGGGGTAGCTTATCCGAGGGGTTATCACGAGGAATAACAAGAGAGAAGTCAGAGCAAGCAAGTATATATATAGAGAGAGTATATTATAAAGAGTGGAGCGTTTTCAGCGTGGTTACAAATGGGGAAATGGGGTGCTATTTATAGTAGCAATAAATACCGGACAGGGACACGTGTCAAGCGCTCATTGGCCGAGGGGTCACCTCAACTGGTTGGCGCTGGCAACCGCATGTGGCCGCATTTAATGCGGCTGTTGGATGGGACGTCGTACTTGGTACGGTGACCCAGATGCGCGTGGAGGGAGGATCCTGTCGTGTGAGCTGCCTTCGGCCGCATAATAGTTGCCGAAGGCTCTCTGTTGCCGAGGGGGCGCTAATGCCGAGGGCTACTGTTTTTTTTGCCTATTTCCTCCCAGTTTCTTAGTTTGCTTGAAAAACCCGTTCTGTGAGAGATTTGAGCCTTCGGCTAGGGGGCCGAAGGCTCCCCAGTGTGCACTGTGGGCTGCTAAGTGCTTGGGGCGCCGTAATTTGGGCCTGCTGTGCTTCCTGGGCCGGTTGGGCCTTTATTGGTGTAGTAGGAGTCTGTGGGCTGGGGATTCCCGAGCCATATACTCCATCAGTTACCTTTAAGTTTAACAACACATGAGGAAAGCTACTAGTTGTAGATTAAGATAAAACATAGATGTTTGTATATAATTTTAAATGTTACTACTCTATCATGAAACTATACACACACAAACATGCAATAGGGAGCATTATTAATTATTAATATTTATTATATAATGAAGTTAAGTGAGTATGTATAATACATTATTAAATGTAACAACTCTATCATTCATGCATTTTAATGTGTGTGTGCGTGTATTTTATATACACACACAAACACAATGTTATTAATCATATTTGTGAAAAAACATCGATAAAATTATATTTTTATGTCTCCGACTAGTTCCCACCTAGGCGCTCGTCTTGCCGCCTAGGCGCCCGTCTTGTCGTCTAGGCGCTAGGCACTGTGCTGGCGCCCGACTAGAGCCTAACGTCTTTTAGAACATTGCTTCTCTTATCGATAAATGAGGGCAAAAGAACCCCAACAAAATAGCACAATAGCACAATAAAAGATCAAAATAGCACAATAAGGTGTAGAAATCACACAAAACTGCAGCGTGTTCGAGCAGAGTTTCTAACCAAACCATAGCTCAACAGAACAATCCCACTGTTCAAAATGAATCCCTTGAAGTCACGAACAAGCAGTTCAAATATCAGAAACATCCAACCACGGGAACACCTCCGATTGAAGAGCTGATTGAAGCTGCGCACTGCAGTTCGAAAATCGAAAATTCTGTCAAGTTTTTTATTTTTTGTTTTGTGCGTGGAATAGTCAGAAATTCCCTTCCAAACATGATGTTTTGCAGTACACGGACCTTCAAAAACTTCTCCTAGAAGCCCAAAGCTCAATGTCAAATGGACTCAAAAAATAGGACATAAAAATCAATCATAAAAGTCCAAAACATAAACAACAAAAGCAATATAAAATATTGCAAATATGGGATGGACCATAACAATCTCCCCATCGAGTCCAACACAGGGAAGATGAACACTCTTCAATCACCACTTGAAGTTCATCCCCGCAAGATTGCCACAAACACCAAGCTTGCTTCCTATAATCATTGTAGTTAACATGTCAACACCATTCTTGTTTGTATGAACTTTCTTTAGTTTCAACAACTTTTCTTCAATCACATTCCGCAACCAATGATACTAAACATCAGCATGCTTGGTTCGAGCGTGATACATGGAATTCTTGCTAAAATCTATAACACTCTAACTATCACATAATACTACATACTTACCTTGATTTTTTTTTTCCATTTTGGTCCCCGACTATTATGTCATTGACACTTTTGGTACTCGACTTTTAGTTTTTCCAATTCTAGTCCTCAACTATTGTGCTAGAGATATTTTTAGTCCTTGACTTCAATGTTTCCCACATTTAGTCCTCTGAGTATTATCAAATTGACACTTTTAGTCCTTCCACTATGATTTTGATAAAATAAATGGAGGACTAAAAATTTTATTAATATAATAGTTGAAGTAAAATCTGAAGATGAAGGTCTGATGGGATTCTCAGATTTAGATTGTAAAGGTGATGTTGAAGAAAGAAAGAGCACAACAGGTTATATGTTGAAGTTCAATGGAGCTACAATATCCTGGAGCTCAAGGAAATAACCAAAGGTTTCCTTATCTACTTGTGAGGTTGAATATATATATGTGGCAGCAACCTATCAAAGAGTGTGGCTTAGAGCATTGTTGGGAGAAATTCTTGGGGAAGAACAGAAGGCTTTTCAACTCCTAGTGAACTCCTAGTTGATAACAAATCAGCCATTAACCTTGCTCTAAATCCAGTTGCTCATGGAAGGAGCAAGCGTATAGAACCCAGATATCCCTGCATAAGGGAAAAAGTCATGGAAGGAAAACTTGTTTTGATATATTGTAACAGTGAGGAACAAGTTTCAGATATATTCACCAAATCACTTCAACTTGACAAGTTCAGAAGCTTCCGTGAAGAACTTGGAGTTCAAGCTATGAATTGCTAAAAGAGTTTTGTATCAATTTGTGTTGAATTTGAATTAAGGGAGAGTGTTAAGTGTGTAATTCAAATACTTCTTAATACTATTGTGTGTGCTGGTGTATGGAATAATGTACGCGTGACTATTCAATACTACGTATAAGAATATTACACGTATGTTTGAGTGTGTGGATTTTAATTCCCTAATAAGATTCTCTCTTTCTTCTCTAACTATGAGTTAGAAACCGTGTATGTGCCATACAACTGCAATTTTGCCCTTTAGTGCTCCGTAGAGTTTAAATGAAAGAGATTTATTTTAAAACAAAATTAACCTTTACTACTCCGTAATAAACACTTTTGAAAACATGTCTCGAAAATCAATTTCTACCTAGTAGAACTAGGGGTGGGCAAAAGACCCAGTCCCGTTGATCCATTCCGGAACGTTCTGGTTCCGTTCTGAAATTGTCCCGTTAAATTCGGGAAAAACTATTTTTGTCTCGTTCCGGTCCCGAGCCGTTTCAAAACAAAACGGGACCGGGACAAATAAAATATGTCCCGTTCCGTCTCGTTGTCCCGAATTCAAAATTATATATGGTTGTGGGTTAGTGAGTCTACCATCAATTCAAATACTAATGAATATTAATTAGGTATTAGTTATCTAATACGGAGTATGTAAAACACCTAAAGGAGTCCAAATTATCAAGTATGAACTATCTTCTACATGCTAAAAAGAAAATCATGTATACTCCACATGTTTCACTTCCAATAATATTGTTTTTTTTGCAGTTTCTTAGTAGTTTTGTGTGTGTTGAAGTTATTGTTGTTGTTAAAGTTTGTTTCGTGCAACTATCCTATTGATCTACTATTTTTTATGTTGTATTTATCGTAAAAAAATTTATGTGTTGCATTTTTAGTGTTGTAGTTTTTTGTCATGAAGTTTGTTTTTGGAGCTAAATTTTTTTCGTTGCAATTTTTTTGGGATGTCCCGAACCGTCCCATTCTGTTCTGGTACCATTTAAAAGGGACAATAGTGGGACAACGTCTTGTCCCTTCCCGTTCTGTCCCGTTATCCTAAATCGGGTTCGGTACCGGGATAGTCTAATTCCCGTCCCGTGCTAAGAGCAACTCCAACAAGCACCAGATTCCACACCAAAATGGTGTATTTGCCAAAAAATGCTCCAACAATAACTCTAAATCTTACACCATTACACCATTTTGGTGGAGGGGAGAAGTTCACGCCATATATGGTGGTGTACACCAAATCCCACACCATCTTCTTTTTTTATTTTTTATTTATTTAAAAAGTGACCCAAAGTTTTGATAGTTATAGTTTTGACCCATTTTTAAAACAACAAATTAAGATGTGTTTACTTGGACTGAAATTTGCTAGTCTGCTCTGGTCTGGTATGATTTGGTCTGGTCTGGTCTGAATTGGTATGATCATGTCTGATTTCTTTGTATTTTTTTAATTACACAAGTTTGGTCTAATACGGTCTGATCTGATTTGGGACAAATTGCAATCCAAGTAAAAACATCCTTATAGAACAAGTAATTAAAATTATTAATTTGATAGAAAATAAAAAATATAATAAAATTTAAAGCATACAATATTATAAATAAAGTTTCAAATCCAAACAACATAATAACACAATACAAATGATACTTAAGAAAATTACATAATTAAAATTAGAATTAATAACACCATTATAATTAAAATTAAAACATAATCAAAACATACATAGTACTTACGGTATTAAATGAGGGGCTAATGTATAAATATATGATAATTAGATACTTAAATGGAAGAATGGTAAAAAGTTACTCCCTTCATTCCTATTAAAACTTCCAACTTTTCTTTTTCATCCGTTCCTATTAAAACTTCCACTTTCCTTTTTAGTAAAAAATTTGTGATTCAAAACATTTTTTACACATTTCTTTCTCCTCTGTCCACCTCTCCATCACACAATATTCACTATCTTAAATTGTAGTCTGAACAGTCTTACTGAAGACTGGTCTGAACAGTTGCAGAAGTTTAGGTGGATAAGCGGAGGGAAGCGGCTGTTGCCACCGATGACGCCGTCTCCGTCAGAACAGACATCTCAGCCGAGTTCACTCGCCATGCTCTCACTTCCACAGATGTGTGAAAGTATACTTGGGTAGCATTTCAACTTTAAGAAAATTGGAAGTACAGAAACTGCAAGGGAAAATAAAAAAATCACATTTCATTTTTCCTTTCAATTTTCCAGGGTAAACTCAAAAATAAGAAAATCACATTCCATAACATTTCCCCCCTTACCTTAGTATTTTCCTTGATCGAATCACACCCTTCAGGTAGGAACATGGGATTTCATTTTATCGTTAACCACTTATGAACAGACAGCTTCTAATTTGTGTTTTAATCACTATCTTGATAGGTTGGGTCAGCTTGAAGTGCCTGAAGATGAGGTGATGCATAAGTCAAAGACCTGTTAAGAAGAGTTTACATTCCTGTTGGCCTTACCCGATTAGCATTACTCGGAATCCAAGTGCATGAGTGTGCCATGTCTGAGAAGGACGACTTGGCAGTACAAATATGCTTACCTGTTCTTGAGTTAAGACCGGGCATTTGTGCCATTCCTATTAGAAAAGGAGAGAATTTCACTGTGGTGAGCTTTCTTACACGCATATCTATTTCAGGCAACAAGAAGTTTGCTTTAGTTTCTACTTTAGGAGTTTTTAAGCCTTTAAAAGAATTACTCAGTTCAGAACAGACTCTTGTCTAGTTGTCTTACATATCTTGTGCTGGTAAATTCCCTCCTTTAAGGCCTGTTTGGATACGTGGTTTTGCAGGTGTTTGAAGGACAAGACTTTGGAGAGCTTAGTCTATTTTCTTAATAAACTGAATGTTTATGAAAACGAATCAAAAGGTACTTGAAATGTTATACGATTACATATTACGGAGTATTAACATTTCAAATTTTATAAATATCAAATGAATTTCAAGATATGGACTAGGCTGTTATGAGCTAGGAAGCTTAGTTTAGGCTAATCTTATTCTCCCTTTCCGTTCCCAACCACGTCCATAATATAGGTCCCCAAAGTCCAAAGCGTCTTAGTGCCCCCCTCCAAACCTCTCTGAAACCGTCCATTCATACAGATGCTTAAAGAATTGCAGCCTTTAGCTTCACTACAAGTAAGCACCTTATTCTTCATAACTGCTTTAATAAAGTCAAAAATATACAAGAGATCTCTTTCCTTCAGTATGGGGTCAAGTATAGAATATTCCAAAATAGCACTTCCCCGAAAACCATGGTTCCCCTCACTGCCAGCAAATGCAAGAGCTTTGAAATGAGTTGTATATAAGCAAAGAAGGACACCATGCATAATTCTGTTTCCTCCCTGAGCTATAGATGGCACAACAACATTTCAGGGTGTGTTGCTGTTTTCTTGGTTTCAAACAAAGGGCAGCAGAAGCACCGGATGACATAAGAGATGTTTTTAGCAAATATTCTGATGAGAATGGAATCATGACTGCAGATGGCTTACTCAAATTCTTGGAGGTGATTCAAGAAGAGGCTGGTGCAACCATTGAGACAGCTGAAAAGATTTTGAACAGTGTGAAGCGTCTACAAAAGGGTTTTGACATTGATCAGTTTTTCCATTACCTGCTGAGTGATCAGAACAATGCCTTCAACACAAAAGTGGACAATCTCTTGTTTCTCCTGCATTTAAGAACTTTCTTGATTTTTTAAAATTTAAAATAAATGGTTTTGTGTGGTAAGGTTTGTTCTTCTCTCCAGGTTCACCATGACATGAGCGCTCCTTTGGCACATTACTTTATATTTACTGGACATAACTCTTATCTCACTGGAAATCAATTCAGCAGCAAAAGCAGTGACAAACCCATAGTGAAGGCTTTAAAGGAAGGCGTGAGAGTGATCGAATTGGACCTTTGGCCTAATTCAAATAAGAATGATATCAAAGTTTGTCATGGCAGGTAGTTTGACTTTTCCATGATCTATTTATATTTTTTGATTGTGGGAAAAGCAAGTTGTATTAGCATAAATTATCAAATCTGTTGAATTTTCTTAAAAGAAAAACTTTTCGGAATGACAAAATCTATTTATTTTGCTTATTCTGCTGATAAGCCAAAGTGTGCTGCCATGGAGCTGGACTTTCTCGTTAAACAAAGGAAAACTACTGCTACAAAGTGATTATTTTTGTCTTTTTTAAAATGCAGGACATGGACATCACCGGTTAAACTAATCAAATGTTTGAAAGCCATCAAGAACAATGCATTTGTTACTTCAAAATATCCTGTCATAATAACTTTTGAAGATCACCTTGATGCAAATCTTCAAGCAAAAGTGGCAATGGTAATTCAACTTAAAAGTTTATCATATACTCCATATATATTTTCAGATTAACATTTAATTTAAAGATAATGATGAGCGACCAAGTACCTCTAAATTTAGCACGGTTGTGTGTAGATGGTCAAACAAACTTTTGGAGACATGCTGTTTTGTCCTGAATCAGATCTAAATGAGTTTCCTTCACCAGAATGTCTAAAGGGGAGAGTTATGATTTCAACAAAGCCTCCAAAGAAATACTCAAAGTCTGGGAGTGTAATCAAACGACATTCCATAAAAGAGACCAGTTTTGCTACAAATGGACTTTCATCCACTCATGGGGTCCACCCAAATGCCTTAACTAATTCCCATATCAGACTAATTTTTTCTTCATATCCTCTGCTTGATCATACTTTCCTTTGCAGTCTCACCATTTGCATGCTGATGTTTTAGAGGGTGATGACGAAGAGAGTACAACCGAATACAAAAAATTGATTGCCATCTGCGCTAGCAAACTCAAGGGTAGTATGAAAAATTTACCCAGCCATGATCACAAAGTTACTCGTCTTAGCATGAGTGAAGAAACACTTAAACTTAGTATAAACAGCCACGGGAGGGAACTTATCCGGTAACTAATTTTCGTATTATCTACATTATTCAGGTTGTTTAAGGGTGCATAACTTTTAAATTTATGTTTAAATAAGCCCAACAAACCTAACTAAACATATAGGCTAAAGGGTCAAATAGGCCCTTGTACCCGTCCGTAATGCTCAATTTGCGCCCTGGACTAAAAAAAACTCCAATTGGTACCTTGAATTGAATAAAAAGTTTCAAATTTGACAATTTGGAGGTAACCATCCGGTTAGTGCCACGTCATCAGGTCATGTGCCAATTGTGCATCTGATGTTGCAACTCAAGGGGGTCAAATAAGCCCCTGAACCCAACCGAATTATTCAAATCACCCCCTCAACGGTTAAAAAGTGTCAAAATTACGAAAAATAAAAAATAAAAAATAAAAAATAGAAATATAAATAATATACAGTTCGAAAATATTAAATATAAAAATGAAATATTTTTATTTTTTATTTAAATAAAAATAAAAATATATATACTAAAATAATTTCAGTACCTTTATTTCCAAATATTTTATTTATATAAAAAATGTGAAAGTTATGTGTACAAACATACACACACACATATATGTATTACCTTACTTTATACAATATAATGTACACATAATTACTACGTAGTATATTTAATATGTAAAAAACTACTATAATTTAAATATATATATATATTAAATAAATAATAAAAGTATGTAATTAATATTTTATATTTTACTTCTTAGATATATTACATAAAATACAATTTTAAATATAGTTGGTGGAAATATATTGTTTATTCTCTTATATAAAATATAGATATAAAATGTAGAATGGAGTTAAAGAATTTCTTAAAGTGTATATTTTATTTTTTATTATGAATTTACCGAAAAATATAAACATTTCTTATTTATATTTTATATTTTTAACTTGTGTTTTATTTTATATTGTTATTTTTTATTTTTTAGTTTTTATTTTTTGTAATTTTGACACTTTTTAACGGTTGACGGGGTGAATTGAACAATTTGGTTGGGTTCAGGGGCTTATTTGACCCGTTGAATTGCCACCTCAGATGCACAGTTGGCACATGACCCGATGATGTGACGCTGACCGGTTGGTTACCTGCAAATTGTCAAATTTGAAACTTTTTATCCAGTTTAGGGTGCCAATTGGAGCTTTTTTTAGTTTAGGGGGCGAATTGAACATTACAGAATGAATTTATATTAGAAAGACTGAGCTTTTTGCCAATAGGTACATGGGCCTATTTGACCCTTCCAAACATATATGAGCTGGAGTATGAATGTTGACAAAAAAGACTTTGTGATAAGATTAGAAAGACATTCTCTCTTACTTCCTCCGTCCCAAAATGAACTTAACAGTTTGATTTCTGCTGTCCCCACTCCCCGGTGTTCTTTAACCATTAATATTTAAAATTATATATGGAGTATTATTAAAAATAAAAATTATTTATAATTTCAAAAAATTATTGAAAATATTGGTTCAGCGTCCTTTGATGTTATAAAATTATAATAAATGAATATCTAATGGTCAAAGTTAAGAAACTTTGACTCAAAAAGTCAAAGTCTCATGTTATTGTTGGGACGGAGGGAGTATATAGTGGGCATCTGGGCGATATGTAGGGTAGGTTCCTGATATGGGATATTTAATGCAACCTCATTTTTTTGTACTTAAGGCTTACACAACGGAGCTTTTTGAGAGTGTACCCCAAGGGTTCGCGCATCACCTCATCAAATTATAATCCTTTTACTGGATGGATGCATGGAGCACAGATGGTTGCGTTTAACATGCAGGTTCGCAATCTCCTAGTACAGTAAAACAAGAAAAAGAACTTCATAGAAGTCTTAACATGGAGCTCAGATTCTCAAGCTAAGTCTTAACAACCCTCTACTCAATATATGTTTTCATACAGGGATATGGAAAGTATCTGTGGATTATGCAAGGGATGTTCAGAGCTAATGGTTGCTGTGGTTATTTGAAAAAACCGGCATTTCTATTAGGCGATGGAAACTATGATGAAGTTTTTGATCCAATGGCTTTGCCAGTAAAAAAAACTTTGAAGGTCTGCTATTTTCAGCATAACCCTCACATCTGTATGATTGCAGTTTCTTGGTGTGATCTTATTCACTTCTATTTAGTGTCAATGCATAGGTTAATATATATATGGGAGAAGGGTGGCGTACCGACTTCCACTTCAGACATTTCGATTTTTGTTCACCGCCAGACTTCTACACAAAGGTCAGCTAATAATAGATGTATATATCCATCCAAATGACGCCTGGGTGCTGCATTTGTTATCAAAACAGTTGCTGCAAATGTTAGGCCATAATGAAAACAGCAATAGATTCATAATTAGAATAATAACAATGGCTGTGCAGGTCAGCATAGTAGGAATGCCATGTGACTGTACGAGAGCAAAGAAAACTCACAAAATTGATGATCAGTGGGTGCCAACATGGAACGGAAATGAATTTAAGTTCCAGCTACGCTTTCCTGAACTAGCATTGCTTCGGGTTGTGGTTAGGGATCATGACCCTGCTGGAGAAGATGGATTTGGTGGGCAGACTTGCTTGCCTATTTCTGAGTTGAAAACCGGCTTCCGCTCTGTTCCACTGTATGACCACAGAGGCGACAAATACAAAAATGTCAGGCTCCTTATGGGTTTCAATTTTATTTGATGTGTACTTGCACTTTGCACGCACACACACAGATTTAGTTCACACCAATGGGTTGGAGCGTCGTGTGCTTATGGGTTTCTTAAGAGTCTTTTGGCTTAAGAAGGGTGTAAGGGGCGGAGTTTGACCCTTTACAAGTTTTCGGAAATTAAGAATGAATGCATTTACAAGCATGCTAATGTGTTCACCATGTAGTTGGACCTTGGACGAGCATGATGTTCTCATCTCATGGAAAAGGGTATATTTTTATGAGTTTGGAGCATCATGCTCGTTTGCCCATTTTAAGAACATTGAATATACCTCTGGGTGTTTTAGATCCAATGCCCCATTGAGCTAAGAAGTGAGCTGTAATATTCATTTGTTGAAGCGAGTAACAAAATGTAGATTATAAGGACTTCAACATGAATTTTATGTGTATTTATAAGTTTTGGTTTAATTGAGTGATTTTATTTGAGAAATGACAATTAATTAAAGAAATTAGCATTGAATGAATAAGATCAACTTTTAAAGTAAGGGTGTGGGAGATATAATTAAAAATTGTTATGAAAACTCATGATATTTGTTGTGAATATACCAAAATTAGCATGCTTTGTTTAATTCGTGAGAGTGCATTTCTCTTTTTGGGTTAGAATACAAAGAGCATCCGCCCTTGCAATTGCTCCCTCAACACTCAACCTACCAAACAGCAAAGTTGGAATCTTGAAACGTGTGATCTTAAAATGGTGGGATTTCAGGTGGGATCGAAACATGTGAAATAATGTTGCCTCAATAAAGCATCTATCTTAATAGTTCATCAATGTAACCTTCTTTTACGAAAAACTATAAGTATGACTAGGGGTGGACCCAACCGGCCCGGAACCGGCCTGGCCTGCCACTGTGCGGGCCCGGACTGGCCCAGTTGGTGCTAACCGGGCCTGGGCTTTTACCCGGTTGGGAAGGGTTGGGTGGGGCGGGCTCAGGCCCTATATTTGTTGAACCGGCCCGGGCCCGGGCGGTTCGGGTTGGGCCCGTGCTTTTTTTTTTTTTGGTTTTTTCAATTTTATTTGTTTTTCTTGGTTAGGGCTAAGTGTTTTGGGGGGTTTGGGGGTGGGGGTGAAGGGGGGGGGGGGGTTGGGGGTTAATTAGAAAGTAAAAAAAAATATTACCTTGACCCGGGCCCGGCCTGGCCTGGTTAAGCCCGGACCCGGTATCAACCTGGACCGGTTCCGGGCCCCACAATTTGAAAAAAAAGTCTACCCGACCCGGAACCGGACCGGCCTGGGTCCATCCTCAAGTATGAAATGCAATGGTACAAAAGAAGTGTACAGTACAATTTATGTCCAGTACTCTTAAAATGTACGTAGTAAACAACATTGAGACAACGTTTTCAGAACACGTGCATTATTCATGCCACCAAAGCCACCTGCAATTAAAACGTGCTTAAACGTTATTGGACAACATTAAATACCAATTACTTTTTTGGGGAAAGGAAATACCAATTACTTATTACATTCTATAACACATACACTGAATATTTGGGGAAAGGAAATATTTATTTGAAATACTAATTATTGTGTGCATAATTATTATTACGGAGTACATAAATATAATACAACTTTAAACTTATACACCGTATTAGGCATAAGAGAACATGTCGGTTTTTTTTGAAAGAATGACAAAAGTATTAGTTGTGGGGTTTTGAAAGACAAATATACTACCATTTTAAGTGTGGACATAAAAGTAACCATTTAAAAAACAACGCCCCTGCTCCGTGCGCCTCCAACATTGCTCTGCGCACCACCTTTTGTCAAATGTGGACAAGTTTATCCTTAGGCGCACCACGTATCTCCCCTCATTGATATTAATTTTTAATTTTAATGGACCTTATTGTTTCCTAAATTTTTTTAGGAAGTCTCGTATGATCACAAAGCCTAACAATTTGACATTTACTCTCCTCCAATAACTTGCTGTCATGTGGCCAATTTTCCTTTTTTTATAAAATGTTATAACTTTTCCAATTTTGCTCCTTTTTTTATAAAAATTATATCAAAATAAATAATTTTTTATGATCTTCCATATGACACCAAAATCATATATGTAAAAATTAAAAAAAAACATTTGGTCAAGTCTATTGAACGCCGATTAATGTATATTTACTATGTACGGAGTAGTATTTTTAGTCTAATCTTTTTTCATCATTTGCAATGAAGTCAAAGATTCATTATTTTTTGGCTTGAGATAATGATGGAATAAAGCAAAATGGCTCACTAAACTCTCTACACTTCTTTGTTATGAAGCAGCTGTCAGTCCATGCAATTTTGGACGCAATTTATCTGATTTGATCTAGTCTTGTACATGTGTTTCTAATATCTAAGTTGTATATAGCATAACATAATATGAGACTTAAACGACTTCAATTGAAAATATTCGTTACACTATACAAGTTTAAACATGTTACACAATTTTTTAGGAAACATTAGAATTAATATTTTTTTTTTATTTTAAAAAGGCAATTAGGCCCATTAAAATTAAAAATCAAAAATTAAAAATGAGAGATTTTCCAAAATAGGAGTAAAAGATGAAGTAAAATAAAAAATAGGACATATTGTTTAGAATTCCCTAAATAGGACTAAATAATTGTGTTTGGACAAAAATAGCCTCCAATGCTGAAATGCCTTAACATTGCGCGTTACTTGCGCATCCCAGCCATCCTCCGGGCTCCAGGTGTGTGCCGCAACTCAACCATCCTCCGGTGCCGTAACAGTGTGTCCTTTAGCAAGTCCGATGCCTCCGCCGCCTTAACTGAGTTCGCTGCCACCATCCTCCGATGAAGCCACCGCTCTTCGGCAAGTGCCTACAACCTCCATCGAGAATGCCACTTCATATGACACAAAAGTGACATTTTTGTCAAACTGGCAAAAATATGACATTTTTGAGATTGTCATCTTCAAAATATATTGACACAAAGTGACATTTATTTCAAATAACCAATAATTATGACATTCTGTTATTCAAAAGTGACATTTTTGTCAATCTGGCGAAAACATGACAAAGTGACATTTTTGTCAATCTGGCGAAAACATTCTGTAATGTCAAAGCAATACTGTCATCTTTATAGATGCAATGCATTAAAAGTGACATTTTTATTATTAAGTACTAGTAATTATGTCATTCTCAGATTCATAATTAATCAAAATTGGTAAATAAATAAATAAAATTGAAATCCACAATCGATCAAGCGATGGAACCTAATTTTTCATCTAAATATTAACAAATCAAGAATAGGTTTTTTTATTCAATCAAAAAAAGTCAAAAAGAAATAAAAAGAAATCAGGACAATCAAAGAAAAAAACAACAGATCACTATGAAGAGGGTGTGAAGGTGAAGAAGAAGAATGAAGAAGAAGAGGAAGAAGAAGAAGGAGGAGGAAGAAGAGGAGAGGAGGAAGAAGAAGGAATTGAGGAAGATTACCTGTCTCCGTCGGAGAAATTGGTGCGGGTGGTTGGCATCGGCTGGATTGCGGCTGCAGTTGATGGCGGAGGAGCGATGTTGTAGCAGGGGCTAAGAGGAGTTCAATCCCAGTTGGAGGACTGATATTCAATCGACCAAATGTAATCCGGAAAAGGGTGAGCTGAATAAGTTTAATCGTACAAGGGCAAAAATGTAATCTGGAGTCTTATTAAGGGAATAATAAACTTATACTTCTATTTTGGAGTTTTGCCAATGTTTTAGTCTCATTTTGGATAATTTCTTATTAAAAATCAATATGAATGGGAGATGCTCGGTAATTACAGAGGAGGTGTGCGCCTGGCGCATTAGAAGTAACGTGAGTTTTGTAAAGACAAACTTGTCCACATTTGACAAAAAGTGGGTGCGCGCAGTAGTATTGGAGGTGTGCGGTGCATCACCCAAAAACAATTTGCTTTTCTCCCTGCGCAATCCATCGGTCTGAGACACAGCCTGTCTTCTCTCAACCCTGTATGTACCTTCGCACCGCCATCATCGATGTTGCGCCAAACCGTCGGCCTGCTTCACCGCCTCTTCGCTCGCCTCGCCTCGCCGAACAGACCGATGCCTCACCTCGCCGCACATGTTTCCGTCTCTCTACCTCGCCTCGCCGCACAGGCCGCCACTTGTCCGACTTGTTGTGTCTCACTGCTTCGCACAGGCCGCCGCCTTGCCTCGTCGCACAGGTTGCCTCTGTGCCTCGCCTCGCCACACAGGCAGTTGCCTCTTTGAATCCACTGGTCGTGCCTCCTTTTTCCTCCAATGCTAGGACCATAAGATCTAAAATGGCGACCAGCAAGCGGCTAGATCTGGGGGAGGGCGACGGCTAGGGTTCACTGGCGGTGGTCGTGGCTGGGTCGGGCTGACAAAGGTGAGGCTGGGAGGGGTGGGTTGGGGCTGATTAGGGTGGTCCGAGGTTGTGTGCGGTTGGAGGGGGCGGAGTTGGTCGGCGGCAGAGCAAGATCTGTCTTTGGCAGTGACAGAGAGGAGCTTGACCGGGGCTGGAAGGGGTCTGGGGTCTGTGGAGTTAAGTCCGGGTGGCCTTGCAATGGTGGTTGGGGAGGTTTGGGGTGTGGGGATGGTGTTGGTGGTCACTGGGAATTGGCGGCGGCCGTAGCCGACTGGAGTATGGTAGCCGCGACTGTGACGGGAAGGGGCGGTGGGGAAGGCGCATTTGTAAGGCGGTGCTGGCGGGCACATAGGCTGGAGGCAGGTAGCATACCGTGGGATCATCTCACGGTGACCATGGTGCTCCACTCAAAAAACGACGTAGCTTTGCACAATTTTTTTAAAAAAAAATTGCGTGAATAATACATACGTGAACAGTACATGCGTGAACAGTAACTGCTTTTTCTTTTTTTGTCCCAGTAGCATGAATGATGTAAATCGCGAGTAAAGATATGTAACTTACGTTATTGATAATGTAAATCAAGTGCATTCAAAATGTAACTTGTCAAATACATAGTATTAGAAATACAATATTGATTTCAATGTAAACAATGAAAAAAAGAATCGAATTTCAAAATTGCTTTAGGTAAATTGTGAACATGTTTTGTTTTTAATTTCATGACCATAAAAAATAATTTTTTTAATTTTGTTTTGTTTCAATAGAAGTGGTTGATTTTTTAATGTAACTCATGTTATTACAAATGTGAATCGTGTTGATGACAAATATGATTTAGATGTATACAGAATATAACTTGTTGAAAAATTGAACATTTTTTTTGTGTTTGTGTGTGTTTGAGAATAATATATATGTTATAAACATTGATTTCAATGAAAACAATGAAAAATTGATCATAATAGCTTAATTACTTTTTTAAATAGTGAATATGTTTTATGTTAAATATTAGGGTTATAAAAATGATAACGCAATGGTTTATTCCGTGGTGTAACTCACATACATTAAGATTTAATCGCGTATATTAAGATGTAACTCGCGTACAATAAGATGTAACTCGCGCGGAAGAAGATAAAAATTCATGATATAATATCAAATGTAACTTCAAAAATCAAAATAAACAAACTCAATGTCTTAAAAAGCTCTAAAAATATATAAAAGTGATAAAAAAGTTATATTATAGAAAAAGTTTGTCCATATAAAAAATATAACAAAAAAGTGTATGAATATAAAAAGTATATTACAAAAAAAGATATATGAATATAAAAATTAATACAAAAACAATAATAGTGTATGAATATTAATTGTAATATACTTATTTTATTTAGATTAATAAATTTTTTGTTATGCATTGATAAAGAATTAAAAAAATAGATTTAATTATAATTTAAGATGAAGATAAAGAAAAGTATGATTGCCATTACATTTTTAGTATTTTAATTTGATGGAAAAGAAAAGAATTGAACAAAAGAAAAATAAAGAAATAAAAGCAATGGAAAAGAGATTTACGTTACATTGCTCCAGAAAGAAAGAAAAAGAAAAGGAACTTGCCTAAAGTGGGATCGACACAGCATGCGGAAGGTGAGCCGATCCCACGGTATAATTTGCGGGCTGGAGGGTAGTCACTGGGTTTGCGGTACAGGGGTTGGGGTTGGGGTTGGGGTTGGGGTTGGGCTAGGTTGGGTTGGGAGGGGTAGGGGCTGTAGGCGGTCTCACCCATTGCGGCGGTGTCCGCGGCGGAGAGGCGACGGTTATGGAGCGGAAACTATGGATGTTACTTAACATTTTGACTGAAAAAAGTTCCTGGAAAAGTTTTCGGTGACAAAGTGACACGTTTTACGGGGATTGTGGCATTTGAAAGTGACATGAAAAACGGTAGTGACACGAAAAAAGTATAGTGACATGAAAAATATGGTCGGCCGGCGCGCTAATGATGGTGTACATTTCGCCGGAAAAGGTTGTCGAAAATTTTCCGACGATTATAGTGACATTCAAAAGTGACATAAAAACCTAACAGTGACATAAAATAGTGACATAAAAATCCAGTTGTGACATAAAAATCCAGTGACATCATGTTTTTTCATATATTTAACCTTCTTAATCACATTTTTATCCTTTTGTAAAAATGATCACTTTTTGGAAATTAGCTTCAATTAGGTAATATTCAAGGAAAAAGCCCTATTTTTTGCATAAATATGGTTACTCTGTATTAGGCATAAATATGATTGCTCTCTATTATATACTACCTCCGTCCCTTAAAACTTTGCCAAAGTTGACCGACACGGAGAATAATAAAATAAAAACTGTGTGGTTGAGGTTTGCGAGAGGAGAGAGAAATAATAGAAACCACAAAATAATTGATTAAAAGGGAAAGTGACAAAGTTTGTTGGGACGTCCCAAAAAGGAAAGATGACAAAGTTTTAAGGGACGGAGGGAGTACTTCGTATAAGAGAGCATGTGTAGTTTGTTTTTGGTTACATAATTTTTTTTTGGTTAGAGAGCATGTCAGATTTATCAATGCTCTAAGTGTCAATATTATCTATACTTTTGTCAAAATTTGGTAGGCCCTAGATAATTTCCATGACCATCAAAACCCACATATTAAAAGCATAATTAAATATTAGACACTGTTTCCCCATATTTCTTTCAATAATCATACACAATATATAGAGTAGAGAAGAAAAGGATCCGGTTCAATACCAAAAGGATTTCGAATTACAACTTAATGTATGAAACGGCCTTCTTTGCTCTCTCTCTCTCTCTCTCTCTCTCTCTCTCTCTCTCTCTCGAAAATGTTATGTGCGTGAATGCTCTATCGAGGTTTAGGGTTTCTCTTAAGTTAGCTTCCTTTTATACATAAGGATGTCTAACTTAAGGCTTACAAGAGGGCTAATGGGCTAAAATACATTTGTGGCCCATATTACACATTTAATTAATAACTACACAAATACAAAGATATTTAACTAGATTGGACACCATAAAATATTCCCAACAATCTCCCCCTTTGTGTTCAATCGTGTTCAATCAGCATTGTGGCGCAGATATCTTTACCTTTGTGTTTACTCAACAATGTAGAGAAGAGCGTAGATAAAATCTATTGAGTTGTTCCTCTTTTGTCTTGATCTTCAGTGCAGCTCAACTTCCTTTGTCTTCGTGTTGAACTCGATCAGCTTGAATGAAATCCGATGGCGCCTCTAGAATGAATGTTCTTGAATAGTTTCAGACGCACACGGGGTTCATCTTCAGTACTTGAGTATCCGACTTCTATCCCCTCTTGTAGCCTTTTCTGACTATTCAATCGTGAATCTTTTGAGGAACAGTTGTCGGTGACACAACAGAAAATGATGATTGATGTGAAATTGAGTGGGAAAATGTGGGCAAGCAAATTAATATGTTGGAGGAGAGAAGTGTCCGAGAATGATCTTTGAAATTTTGTAAGCACTTGTACCGCTCTTCCCCTCATGACGATCCGATGAGTCGGGATGTCATGCCTTTGTTCATCCTTTGATACTGCAAAACAAAACTAAAATCCGGATACACTGAGGTGTTCCGTTATCACAACATCAATGTAAACACTGATATGTGGCCCGTATAAAATGATAGAAGCATTAAAGCTCTGACAGGACATCTCACTAATCATTATGAAGCATCTATAATAGATGTCACTCAGGTCATTATGGCATGATCAAAAGAATCAGCAATGAAAACTTGTAGCCCCTGGGGTCGCATAGACACCCGTTATCATCACTAAAGAGACGATCTCTAAAGCAATGCCCTGAAAAATGTTGGTGATTTCTATGTTGCAACATCAGGACTTCCATCCAATCATCGGTCTACATCTATAATAGATGAGCCCTATAGAAGTTAACGCAAGTCTTGAATACCAACAACTGACTCTAAAATGTGTATGTGTCTAGAAAATTAAAAACCTTTGGGAGCGTGAAAACTAGACACGACGTGATCAACGAATGTTCAGTGGCATGGGGTTGTGGGCCACTGTAGTCAATATCAATCGCCTCAGAAGGAGACGGTGATGAATGATGAGGTTCCCCGTGAAATTTGATGAAACACCTATCTGTTGAGAAACAGATGAGTGGTCTAGGGTAGGGTTGTGCATGCGCTGTTGGACAAGATGCAGCGACTTCCACCCGGGATCTGAATAAATTTAGTCCTGTACCTATGGGGAATTGTCCAGAGTATTTGAGTGACTAGGATTGACTCTTCAGTTGATTGCTCAGTTAAGGTAGCAGGCTTGTCTTAGAATATTGTTTCTTCATTCACTTTAGCATTCTGCATCCTCACACTCATAATGTTCACTCGCTCAATCACTCTCAGCTGTGTCTCTTGGGTAGGCTCAGTTGGGTTTACTAAGCCATTGAGACTTATCTCTCTCATTGATCTCTTTGCTCTTTTAATTTCTTTCTGTACCCCTCCTCAACTGGAGCACTCAGTAGGATGCCTTTGACGATAATTAGCGCTTGGGAGAAGAACTTTGAAAACTCTCCCTCCTTGAGAGAATTCTTGCATTTTACATTGTCTGGCACCAAGAGGAGAAAAATGAAACTCCCCCTCAGACGTTGCAAGTTGTGCTGTTTGTTGCCCGGGGAGTAAAGTAGAAAATTGTCCCTTGGAATGTGCTCCTTGGAATGTGCTTTCTTTATTGTTTGGCACTTCGAAAAGTGAAACAGAAACACTCCCCTCAAAATAAGCACTCGTTGTTTGTTCTTGGCACGTGTTGGTGTTGAGGTGTGCATTTGATGATTTTCAGCTCATTGGGGAGTTTACGCGCCAATACGCTCCTTGATAATTTGCACATGTTGATTGCTCTCAGCTCGTCTTCATACCCGCCATGTGTGTGGTGCAATCGATTCAGTTACCACACATGACGGACCTGCAAAACAGATTAAGTATGTTTTGGTACCCACCTCGGGATGAGTCCTTCCTTATCAACACTGAAAAATTGTTTCACTTTCTGTTTGATTTGGGATCCTAGGTTAGCTGGTCGAGAAGAATTTGACATTCTTAATTTCTCAGCTTCGGCCTTAGGAACCCATTGTTGTGTGAACTTTGGAGCAAGAGAGGTTTCAGAAACAGTGAGTGAATATTCAGATAGACAATCTTTTAAAATTGCTTCTTGGTAGAGTCTTTTCAAATGTTTGAGTGAGTGAACCTTGAGGGGATACCTTAAACATGGAAAATTATACCCCCCCTCAACATTCACCTTCACAGAAGTCGATTCCCTTGGGCATCTCTGAACATTCATATTCTTTTCTTGGTTGAAGCCTTGAAGGAGGCATCAAACTCAGAGCAGCGAGTTTTCATTGTCTTATTTTTGGCATAGAACAGAGCACTTCAACACCAGTTCCTATTCCTTAGACGAGATTCTTCTTCCTTGTTTCTTCTTCTCAACTTCTCCTCAATTCATTCTCCTCTCCTCTCCACTCTCCTCTTCACATGGTACCTTGTCGGAGAAGGAGACTCAGAGTGAGTGGTAGAAGATTTAGGATCATCGGTTGATTTTCCAAAACATTTTTTAGAGGATGGGGGAGAAGGAGATTGAGAATCTGTGCTGGATTGAGAGGATGTTTTTAACAAGGCTACTTCATTTAAAAGTTGTTCTCTTTCAAGTTCAAAAGCCTGTTTGTCTTTATCAAAAGATT